CTGCAAGAAATGACTGGGGGATAGAAGCTCATCTCAGGATCATGAGGCTTGGGAAGACTGTGTGCTGGGGCAGAGCACATGGAGAAGGGATGCTGGGAGCCTGTCCTGTGCTTCGTTCCCATGATTTAGCACAGCCCCCTGCTCTTTCTGTTTCATAAGCTCCTTATGGATCTGTTTTTACTATTCTAAACAGTCACTTTCCCATCCTTAAATAATTTCTATTTCACTCTATTTTAAAATTATTCTTTTTCCTTGCCACCATTTCCACGTTTCCTTCGCTATGTTCCCAGTGCGTCTGACACTTCTACATTAATAGAAGACAGTGACCTGTGATAAAAATACATTTTTATGGAGTGCTTGGACAGGAAGCATTACAGGACCTGAGCAAGACATAAAAATACAATAAAGTATATGAAAATCCAGCTCCGATAGATTAATTGCCATGAAAACAGAAACAAGTGAGCAGACACCTTGGCAAAGACTCAATTTTTTGTACAGCATTCGTGGAAGCAGGCGAGGGACAAATCTGTTGCAACGTTATTTGGAATAGGGAAAATAGTAACTGAACAGAGATGACACACTTGGACATTATGCATTTTGTAAGCTAAAACAAAGAGATGGGATAGGAGCTAAAAACTCACTCATATAAGAGTTTATACAGCAGCACTGGGTCTATTGGGCAGTGGAGTCCCAGTAACAGATCAGAAGACAACGTTTGTCTTGACACCACCCAAAAATCTCCTGCTGAAGTGCAGGCCAGCAGTCTGCACAACAGCCATGATGGGGAGCAGTTGAGAGAGCAGGGGAGAAGGTGCTGGACAGAAGAACTGGCCTTGAGGTAGAGTTTCAATTGCATTGATCTTCCAGCTCACACCTGAAACTGAAAGCACCACCCCAGTGTGCTTCCAGCTCTCCAGAGCACACTGAGGAACAGAAAGGGTCTCTTCCACCAGCTCTGACTGAACATACCCTGGCCAGAGTACACTGAGCTATCCAGGAGAGAGGGTAAAGAAGCTATCCAGTACTAAACCGGAGAAATTAACTCTGACAAGCATTCCCAAATACAGGAAAATCCATACATGTTTGCAGCCATACTACTGAACAGAGTCCCAAGATCATACACTTCTTGACTGCTAACAATGATCAAGCTCCAGTGCATCTCCCTCCTTGCAGAGCCTTTTCTTCTGGGGCAGGAGATGCCTGCTTAGCTCTAGGAGTTGGAGATCCTAGAAGACTCAGTGCAGGCAGCTGGCTTCTATGGTAGCAGTAGCAGCACAATCTTGGACCTTGAGAGCTTTTACTCCTGTGGGAAAAGCATAGGCTGAGATAAACTATTGACTGGGTATGCCTGTTTCTCCTTTTGGAAATTCAGCTGCCAGTGCCACAGAGCAACAGGAAAAATCAGATTCATTTCCACAGAGATTTTATCACCTCAGTCTTGGCATGGAGAGGTATCTCCACCCAGCTGTGAGCAAGTGAGTGCATTTTGCTGGCTTTTTTTATATAATCAGAATAAATTCCTTGGAGGTGACTCACAGGGTTTCAAGGGTGTCCAGAGAGATGTTAAGCAGCCTCAAGTGTAAATCAGTGACACACCTTGCTGAGAGGACTCCTGCTCACCAGCAGGCTCATTTCCCCTGCAGATACCAGGCAAGGGAAGGAGCTAGAAGGATATTTCCCAACATGCTCCCACAATCCACACACACATGCGTGGCATCTCCAGGCCCAGGACACTGCTGGTGTTTACATTTCCTCTGTAAAGACAGTGATGTTTTCAGGGTGGAGCTGGAGTGCTTCCCTGCAGCTGCTCTCTAAGCTTAAACACTGAAAATTTTCAGACATTCAGGCTGGAGGGGCTTGGCAGTCATTGAAGAGATTTGAACTTCAGAAATAGAGGTTCTGCCCCACCAAAGCCTGGTGAAACCCCCTGGCAGGGGTTCCTACCTGGGATGTTCATTGTGGTGGAACAGTTGTATCCCATTGCAATTATTTCAGTACTGTGATACTATATTAAGCAAATTAAGCTATATAAATCTGTTCCATTCCCCTGCCCAGGAATGAACACTCCAGCCTCCATGGGTCTGCAGGACCCATGCAGAGGACAAAGATGATACTTGCATAACTTCAAGGTATAGCCTGCTTTAGTGGCTCCTTTAGAGGCTGAAATGTAGAGGAGGGCCAGGAAGAACCAGGCCTGGACACAATCCCAGAGGTCCAAAGTAACACTGAGCAAAATCCTGTGGATGCTCTTGGACCTTTGAGTGTCAGTGCAGATGGAACAGACAAATCCTTGATGGAGCTTGGCTCTGGGTCAGTTTTCTTTCCCTAATACCAAGGGCAAGGTTTGACACAAGGTGCCAGTGCAGGCCAGCCTCCCAGTTTGCAAGCTGCATGCAAGTCTTCCATCAAGCAGGTGCTTTCAGTCTAGAGTGAGGCAAATCTCTATTTCTGCATTCTTTGAAGGCAACTGCAGAAGACACATCACAGCTATTATGCCCTTCACCTTTCAACTTCACCCTCAGATGAGTAACAATTACCAGCTACCATTAATATTAAATAGGAGAGAAAGAAATGTGATCCTCTCTTTGCTCTTCACATTCCACAATATCACAAACAATTTGTCATATTGGGAGGGGCAGAGGCAGGAAGAGCATTAATTATTGATACTTGGGAACAGATGGCTTTTCTTGTACCAGGGCACTGAAATGTAAGAGGAGCCCATGGGTGAGGATGTGAGGATTAGATGGGCAGACATATATCAGGTAACCAGCCTTCAAGTGGAACAGGAACCTTCCTACTAGAACCAGCTCCACAGGGCTGCAGAGCTTTCAACACAGCCCCAGCTGCAGAAACAAATCCACTGACATCTGAATTACTGAGGCTTCACCAGAACCTTTCAACACTCCCTCACCTCTGTACAGAACATGCTGGACACGATGACTGATGGCTTCCAGAGAGCAGAGGCCTGGCAAATCAGGCACCAGCTGCTCTCTCTAGGAGACTTCACTGGTTTCATCCTCATCTAACTGTCCTGTGCCACGCAACATCTGTTCCTGTGACCTCCCCCAGCCTTCCAGTGGCCTTGGATCACATTTAGGGTGCTGGCCTCTGAAATCAGAGATCCAAGTGATGTGGACCTGCAACTTCAACCAGAGACTCTGTTATCCAACTCTTTTTGCCAAATTTTCCTATTGATTTGTGTAAGGATGAAGAGCAAGAAGACTTCATTCTTGTCAGCTCCAGTGGTGTCCTTGAGGACAGAGACACATACTGGGCTGTAAAACAAGCCTGGCAAGGACACCTGCTGTGGGTGTCCCCATGTCTGAAACCTGACTGTGGGACTGACATCCTTATGAGACAGGAGGAGCAACTGGGCAAGAGTGATTCTCCACCAAAGGCAGCTGATTCACTGAAAACAGTGACACCAAAAGCTTTTCCTGAAACTCCCTTGAAGAGTCTCTGTACTCACTGCTGGATTCAGGCATCTGTAGCCATTTTCACTCTGGCCTAGCCATCTCTTTGCTGAAAGAGTAAGGGACCAGCTGTACTGCCTCAGACCTGGGCCTGGGGAGCCCAGGGTGCTGTCTCTGGAAATGGTTATAAAGAGATGGTGATACCTCCTCTACTACTGCAAAAGTTATATTCCTTAGCTATTTTCCATTCAGGGATTTCATAAGCCAAACATCACCTCAATTCAATTCACTTCTTTGGACATACCCCTTAAATCCTCAAACTGGCAGGCACTCATTTTCCCAGCAAGGACTAATTAAATACATGGTTACTCCACTGAGCTAAGCAGATTCTCTTGCCACCTCCACAGACCCAGAAGGTACCTCAGGACCACAATGTAAAATCCCTTGGGTGTTGAGGACCTCCTCACAGCCTTTTCCTAAACTCTGTTCCCTTAGCCTCTGCTGAGAGCTTCATGCTTCAAAGTCTCATTACTCTGATAATTAGACACTCATTTCTCAAGCTGACTAATCACTGATTTATAATTCCTCTCAGTCTGCCTAGGGTCATGCAGCCTGCAGCCTGTGAGAGTACTAAGACACGTACAGTCTTGTGATTTGGAAAAACACAACTTCCCAGCTTCCCTCCTGGTCTGAATCAGTGGTAAAGTCCTTGAGGTGAACAAATGCCAGGTGCCAGGAGACAGCTACTGTCCATGAACAATACAACTTTTCACAGTTTGGAGTAGGATAGAGCAAGTTTCCCCACCCAGTGAAGAGGGAGAAGCAATCTTAGAAAGACCTGGGTCACATCTGTGCTGGGAAAAAAGGAGCTCTCCCATAAAAGCAGCAAACCTTCCCACTATAGAAGCTTTGACCAGTGTCCAAGTTTACTCTAGTTTGGTGCAGGAAATGGACAGAGAACTGGACGGACCTGATGGTATCTATACTGCTGCATTATACCAATATGAGAGCTTTTGTTCCTCCAAAAATGCTGTTTGTCTCACTGTGATAGTAGCAGAAAACATATTTAATGTGGCTCTGTCTTTACAGAGCAGTGTCCACAGAGCCCAGTGGTGTTTGCACCAGCGAGGTGCTGCTGAACAGTCAGCTGAGAGCTCAGGTACACAGGCTGATCTCACCTCCCCATGCTTCCCAGAGCCTGAGGAGGTGATCAGCTCACAAAAGAAGCCTATGGATTAGACAGCAATCCAATGGATCAAAAAGCAGGAGAGGGCACATCTTTTCAACCCCAGAGCAGAACTGCTCCCTTTCACACTTCTTGAGTAAACATTTATGTGAATCCTTTCTCTGCCACTCAAAGAAGAAATTACATTATATACACATTCCAGAGAACCTTTCCCAGCAGTAATAACCATTTTTAACATACATTGAGCCTGGGAGAATGTCTAGAATTTTACAAGCAAGTGCATGAGTGGAGCTGTGTTTTGATCCACACGGGACAGCTGTAAGTTGACATCACGAACAGGCTCTGGAGTCGAGGTGGCCAGTGGGCTTGGGAGGAGGATGTGCTCGGCAGGAGCTCCCTACCTCTTTGATGGCAGACATCTTGATGTTCTCATAGTAGTGCAGGGGTGCATTGGGTGAACTCATGTCGTAGCCAAAGCCAGCTACCGCCACCTCATCACAGTTGTGCAGCGCCATGGTTATTGCTACGCTTCCCAAGGTGGGGATGTTCTGAGAGGAGAGAAAGCAGGAATGGAAGTCATTAGCAGGTTGCCATTTTTATAATCAAAAATTTCCTCTTATTGCCTCTGCTCATGGGGACACTGCTGCTACTAAGCAGAAAATCAGGAATGTGGTATTTGGCTATATTCAACCTGCCAGCTTGCAGGGTTGATAGCCTCCCAACTTGTAAATAAATTAATGCAAATGGTCAGATTCCCCTTCCACAGCTTTGCTGTCCTGAGAACAGGGCAGCAGACAAGCTGGAGGATGAATCACAGTGGATACATTAGCTTTCTGAAATTAAAACAGATGTAGGCAGTGGATTCCAATGTTAATGCACATTACTGGCTTCCAGCTAGGCTAAGGTAAAATACTTATCCCAAACAGGTCACCATACAGGAGCAAAAGTAAGAAACAACACAAACACCTTATTTCACTGACGGCAAAAGCAGTTTAAGGTTGTTAAACACCTCTGGGAGATGGGGAGGAGACCAGGCAGTGTGTTCCAAGACCTCTTCCTTTCTCAGGGACACCTTGACAGTGAAGGGGCACTCTAGTCTGTGCCATTCCCTCAGAACCACACACTGGGAAAACAAGGAGCAGTGGGAAGCCAGTCAGAGATGGGTGGTACCATCCAGGGCACACCACAACTGTCCTTTCCCATCTCCTAAACTGCAATTTGCACTGATGTCCAGCCTTAGCCCTTCCCATTTCACTGGGCTCCAACACTGTGACAGCAGTGCTGTACAGCTATAACTCCTCCTTGTGTTCTGCTGGGACAGCAAAGTGTTCCCAGTGTAAAATCCTAGCTCACTGACTTTCCTAGCTCCCCTTTAGACAGATAAATCCAGAGACAACTTTGCCCCAGGGGTTAGGGAGAGGCTGAGAAATCCACCCACATCTTCATTTGTAGAGTATCCAACACCGGCTGTATAGGAAATATCACAAATTCAGAGGACATGCTCAGACAGTCACCGAGGGTGACAGCTCTTAGCTGAGATGTAGAAAGCAACTGCACTCTCATATTTTTCATTTACAATGGTTTACCCTGAATGCAAACTATTGCATGTTCAAAAAGGTTGGGAACTATGTTTTGAGTTTTTGCTTCTCATTCAAAGGAACTGGTTTTTGTCAGCACATGACCTTGCTCACTTCTGATTGCCTGACCAGTCCGAAGGAAAATGTTTTCCAAGCAAAGAATGCTACCAATATCCCAGCTGAGATGTGCAGAGCTGGGAGCACAACTCGTGTGCTATGTCGAACTCCCCTACAGTGCACTAAAATTATTTTAATCTGAAAACAAACAGGCAAAAACTACTTATGGCTAAATCAATGAGACATTAAGTTCAAACATTTGCAGCACAACAGTAACAGAGAACACCTGAAATGACAAGATCTTCCTACATCCTCCTGTTCCAGTTCTAGATGTCGGGAAAAGCAGCAGAGCAATTTTGTTCTCACCGCTTAATTTCAATTGATACTCACAAAAACAATACTGGTTTATTCTAGTTACTTTAGTTAACTGTCAATTCACTGGTAGCCAAAAAATATCAAGTAGGGGTTTCAAAAAAATGGAAAAAAAGTTTATTAGGCAAGGATAAGAACATTGCCCCAAATTTCAAAATATCCAACAACATCCTGTCTTTCCAGACATGACAGTATTAATTCTGATTTCTCTGCTTTATGTTTTGCATAGAAGATGACATTTGTATGTCACTGGAATTGCATCAGCTGGTAAGCGGACGTGCCACAAACCCCTTTCCCTCAGCAGAGCTGTAGTTACAGCGTCCAAAACACAGTGAGTAAATGGTCACATCCTTGAGACTGTGTCGTCACTGGGAGCATGATGGTGTTAACACCACCCACACTTGCACTGGGCCCATTCCCACGGTACTGCTCAAGGGATACACGGGGTCTTTGCCTGGAGGGAATTTCACTGGCCAATTTAACATTTAAGAGCTAACTTTCTAATGTGAGTCTTGCAAACCACAGAGAATTAATCACATTACCCAACCTTACGGGAGGACTGCCAAACTTTCTTTCAGGCATAGTCTGTTTGGAGAATAACAGTAGACAGAAATCGAAAGTGAACTTTCGTTTGGTCGCCAAATATCTGTCTGACTTTATTCTTTCTATAATATATCCAATTACATTTTTGGATAGATAGGAGGTAATTTTCTCATCTGCTTCTGTTCTTCAGTAGTTCCTGACATGCCAATATCTTCGTACCACCTGCTCTGCTCTCAAAAACTATTGAAATACCAGAGACTACCTACCTTCCTAACCTCTTGAACTGTAGTAGATATATCTGATTTGGCCTCTATAACTATCAGAAATTCACAGGATGTCCTTAGCAAAGTGTTTTGCATTACCCTAAAAAACACATCTGGAAACTGGTGATCTGATGATAGTGTCTTAATTATGCTTTATCCATGTTAGCACCCTCCAACACCTCAGTAGCTGTAGCTTTAATATGTAGCTTCCCTTGAAGGCAGAATTCTGCATCCTGCAGTGGTGAGATGCAGCCCCAATCTCCCTGCTGCAGTCAGAATCCTGTGGGCTAGAGAAGTGCCTCTTGAAAATACTGTCAAAATGATCACCCCTGCTATTCACTGAGGGCAGTAACAATTAGGGCAGCACAGGGGTGCTTACAGAACCCACCCATAATAAATGGTGCAGACAACAGCACCTGCCCAAGAGAAGAACATGGTGCAAAGTGTGTGTGCACCCACATGTGCCCCGATCACATACAGGTAACTGGGCACTTGCTCCAAAGTCCTTATCTTCTTTATAAAAGAAGTAACCATCAGAGGGATTAAACAGTAACGGAGGAATTAGACAGTCTTGAAGAAAATGGAGCTGCCTTGAACCAAACTATAAAAAAGGTATAATTGTTTATTAACTAAGTGTCATTAGTAAGTCAGTACAGTACTTTAGTCTTCATTTGGTTTAAGCTACAGAAACTGAGTCCTCTTCTCCTATAGCAGCAGCCTGCTGAGATTCTGCTACTCCTGCCGCCCGTTGAAAATAAAGCACTGCCTCATGCCCAGCTTGTGGCATGGGAAAGACAATGCCTTGTAGGATCTGGGACATATCCCAGGCTGTGCTGCAGAGAATGCAACAGAGCATTACTCTCAGGTCCAAGGGAAAGGGCTCTCCCCTCCTTTCCTCTTAGCAAAGAAGTGGCAAATAAGAGGAGACACATTATTAGAGAGGAAGTGGCTATAACTACTCCCTGGCTGCATCTACAGAGCTTCCAAGCTCTCCTGATTGTACATATAAATTCATTAGCTTCTAACCTCTAATCTGGACCTAATGGAACATATACAACCCATGGGGCAAACTGGGGGACAAGTGACTCCAAAAGAAGTTAGGCATCATGGACATGGCTGTGCCAAATCTGGCTTGCTATGCCCTGCACAATGCGTCAGTGCTATCTCACCACACACACCCTTGTGCCGTGCCCCAAAGACATACCAAATCAACCACCACACCTCCTGTGTTATGAAAATAAAACTCTCTCAAACAACTGAGCAGGCCTCTTGTTATTTGAGGCTTTTGCTAAGACAAAATCCCCCAAATTCTACCATCTTGCCTCAGGAAAAATAATCTAGTGTTAGACCAGTCCAAAGCCTGTCTTCCTGCTAATGGCCCTCTGTGTGCTTGGGTGTTCCTGCATTACCAACCAGTGCTGCTTTCAACCAAATGGTTGAAGAGCTACAGCCCCACAGCAGCCAGTGCCAAGGCAGGAGCCTCTTGGGATGCCTCCCAGCCACACAGAGACTGCCCAGTGCAGGTTAGACCTGGAAAGGTCCAACATGACCACGGCTGCAGATGTGGCCATGATGAGTCTCTGACCTGAACTGGTGCCCAGCAAGAAGAGTGAGCTGGGAATGGCAAAGCCCAGAAATCATTGGCAGCCCTCTCCCCTTGTCAATTCTCTGCCACAATTGTTGAGCTTGGCCTTGCAAGCTGTGTGTCAAAGGTTTCTGTGCAGGCTGGGGCCCATGCAGGTACCAGGCTTAGCATCCCCTCCAGCACCCATAAACAACTACAAGAGCAACCTCACTGGATAATGTGTCCAGAACTGAAAGTCTACATTTTCAAGCCTGGCCTGCTTGTCTAAGACCAAACATATGGAAAATGTAATATCCAACATAATGGTACCCAGAGATCAGCCCTTTGCTTGGTCCCATTTGAGAGAACACAGCAGACTGACAGATGAGACAGGGATGACGCTGAAAGGCCATGTGACAAACAGAAGCAGAAAACACAGCAGTGGTGAGTGACAGATCACCACAGCAGTGTGGGCAAAGCCTGCCTGAGCCTCTGGAGCAATGCTTCTTCCAGGGGTACCTGTCCTCCAGGGGTAAGATGAGCACATGCGTGGTGGATCCTGGTGAGAAAAGTGTAAAGGCAGGAGAGGCAAAGATTTCTGGTTTTGTGCTGTGTCAGGCACCACAGCAAGCTCTGTGCAGTGCAAACACAGCCAGTTTGCTCCATCAGGTCAGGGGACCAGAAATGCCTTTAGCAGTACAGACATAGGACAAGTTCTCCTAACTGCTCCTACACTGTTCTCTGCTGCAAGCAGGAAGACAAAAGGCTTCACCTCAAGACACGGATGTTTCATCTTCCATTCTGCCCCCTGAAGAGGCTTTAAAGACTGACTTCTACTCACATAGGGAAAGAAGTCAGTCAGCAGAAATGAACACTGGAATTCCTTTGGTCTCTGTTGAGGCTGACCATTACCTCGTGGGCTTGTGCTGAAGATCCAGTGCTGGTGACTGAACCAGGGCTGGAACTGCTCTTTGCTTGGTGCATGTGAAAAGCTCTTGCTGCTTTTCATTCCATGCCTGGGTCATTCCTGTGTCACTGCCTGCTGGACTGGAAGGAAATGACTGCTGTAAATCTGTTTTTAGAAATATTTGACTCCCTTAATATGTTAAATGAATTCCAGTTATTTATGGGATTTTACTTAGTTCAGGGTAAGACTTATTGGATTGTTCAGACTATTCCAATTGTTACCTTTTTCAATAACAAGGTAAGTGTTACTGAAGAATATACTCCCTACAAACAATAATGCACCTGGATATTCAAATTGCTTTGACTACTGTATTAAATAATTTGAGGAAAAAAAAAATCTAAAAATTTGCTTACCTGGGAAAAATTCTTACCTTAGTTTTATCAGTCACAGACCTGATCACCTAATAGCAAAGAAGTTTTTAAAACAAAAGAAATCCAGAACAAAACTATAATAGTGAATGTACGTGAACTACCACTTTTGTTTATGTTTGCATTGGAGCAAACCCAAACCTACCCTTTTTTTCCTTTAGCTGAAAAGGTGGAAATACAGCATAGAAAGCAATTTAGTATCATTCACTGTGAGCAGGCAAGTGCCTGGCATTCTGTGGAGTGGTCCCTGTCACAGGAGCACACTGCTGCTCTTAAAACTACCTCCCATGCACAGAAACAGCTGCAATAGTGGCTTCAAAAGACACAGCAGAGCATCTCAGTGCCCTTCCTTCAGCTTCCCTGGCTATCCCTGGCTGTGAGTGGGACAGAGCCTGCAGGACTGGCTGTCTGCAGCTGAGCAAAGGGAAGGACCAGCAGCTGGTGGCTGAAGACAGGACAACCCAGCAGGCTCCCTTCTGCCACTTCCCTGCTGACTTCCTCAACACCTAGGCCCAGTCCAAGTATTTTTGACCCCATCTAACCTGATGCACAAGCTCTGACTCACCATTTTCCATAGAACATATTCCTGTGCAGTGCAGGGAGTATTTCTAAAGGACATAAGGACTTAACAGAAGGCAAGCAAAGGCATGACTTTAGTATGCTCTACCTGCTCTGTGATAAGCACATACACATTTACCCCATGCTAAATGGGAGTTCATGGTCTGCTCTTCACTGAGAAGAAAACTCTTCAGTTCCTTGGCATCTCTCATGAGCAGAAGCAGGTGGCTGGGCTTGTACCAAGAGGAGGCTGGTATGGAGCATTTACCTGCTCCCCAGCACCAGGTTGTCTGAGCATCCCTTCCCCAGCAACTCATGGACTGATCCCACTGCAGTGGCAATGGGTGGAACAGCCCAGCCCACAAAGCAGATGTGCTGCCTTGCAAACCCAAAGCTTTATAGGTTTTTTTTTAGTTTACTTTTACAGACACTAAGTCTCTACATTTAACTGACTGCAGCTGCAGTGGTCCCTTTCTTGTCCCTCTACCTGCCTTAGAAGATGCCATTAGGGTGCAAAAAAGGGAGAACCATATAAGTGGAAAGGATTAAGTGAAACACTGTTCTGCTCCTGCCATCCCCACCTCTCTTCTACTCCACAAAGACCCAACAGGTTTCAAGATACAGCCTTCACAAAGTCACAGTCCTGTAAGAACAGCCCAGGAGACAAAGCTTGCTGACATCTGGGCAATTCATGAGAGAAAAGGTCATGACGATGAGACAAGGGAGCTGAAAATTGCCTAAGGAACAAAGGATCCCCACTGGCACCTCCAGAAAGGCTGCCTGCCCACAGGAAAAAACATCTAAGTGCTACAAGAAGCTGTGGCCAGGACGTGCTAATGCACCAGCTTCAGAGGTTAAGCCCTGAGATGTCAACACTCTGCAGAGGTGCTAATCCATGGCTGGGTGCCTGAATCAGCCCGGTAACACCTCCTGCACATGGCTGCTGCACCAGCTTAGTGCTGAGGCTGGGTGAAGTCCAAAGAAGGATGCTTTATCTTTTTAGTTTACAGATTCAACCATTTCCAATACAGGAACAAACAAAGGCTTACAGCATTGGGTTAAATCATAAACAAATCCATGGATGCACAGCACCAGCACAGAGAGAGAAACAAACATTGCAGTCTGCACTGGAGTCCTCAGACTTCTGATAATTTGTCACCTGAAGTGTTCTCCTTTCTGCCTGACACCAGGCCCAGGGCTCCCAGAGGAGCCAGAAGGACACTGCTCCCATGGCTCTGAGGGCTACTGACTGGACAGGACAACTCACTACACAGCCAAAGGCAGCACAGCTGCGACCATCCCTAGGGGTGTCTGTGCACCCAGCAGTGACACCTCTGAGCTGATGCTCATTCTTGTGCCCCAGTAAATTGCCTGCAGTGTAAGGGGTGCTATATTGCAAGCTTGAACCACCAGCTGCAATACCAGTGATGTCTGGTTTCAAGCCAAAGATCTGTAAAAACAGAACTTCCACCTGAGCAAAAATCATATTTGGCTAGTGATAAAGCAAACCTTGCACCCACACATCAACAATTATTTTCCCCCAGACATTGCTAGGAGCCCAAAGTTTGTTCTATATGATCAGCTTAACCCATGAAGCAGAAGTCCATATACAGTATGGAAAAGCTCTCCTACTCTTAAGACTTCAGCAGGACTGAAGAAAACTTCTAAAAAGCTTTACCAGTCAGTCCCAGAGAGAAATCACTATTCATTGTGGGTGTGAGTTTTGCTCCTTGCTGAGGCTTTTGGCTACGACTGTCACGAGTGCAATCAAAATGCACACTTGAGTTTTACCCTATTACTATACTCCAGGATCATCTGGCCCAAATTATATTATCAAAGCAGAGGATGTTACTACATTCACCCTTTATTGAATCCTGGGAAAAACGCTTTGAGATCAGCCCCAAACTATTTTACTAGCTCCGCTCAACCTTGCTGGAAAAGCCCCCAAATTACAAAGTTAATTGGCAGCACATTGCTACCATATGTGGTGTGCAAGAGAAGCACTGAAGTTTATTTAGGCATCAGAACCAAAGGAGAGTGGAATATTACTGCTCTTTATGAGGATTTTGTGTTGGCCTTGATGATGAAGGCATCCCCAGCCTTGATCCTCCAGTGTGCAGCCTGCCCAACACAGCACAGCACGCTGCAGCACGGGGGCACCCGTCTGCCTCCAGCCCCATTTCCCAGGAGAAACTCTGGATACACTGCTTGCTATGCTTTTGCTTACTGATCCTCAGCATCTTCCTTTTCCCTGTTCATATGCTTCTCTCTTGAGCAAAGTTTTCCAGGCTGTTTCTCATTGCTGAAGCACAACCCCAAGCCCAACCAGCTGTGCAGCTGCTGGGTCACACGGATGTGGAACAATCCTCCTTGCTGCCCCACTTGTCTGGCTGGATCACTCACAAATTTTCAGTGAGAGCTGGATTCTTGGTCTGCAGGCTCTGATTTCCACTCCTCCCATTTAAAATCTGAGCAAAAAATGTAGCAAATTTTTATCACCAGAGCCTTACTCAGACTCTTCCCTCTTTACCCTGACAGCAATAGCTCCTGTTGGAGCCTTTGCACTTAACAAAGCTCTAAACTTTGCAGTGGTGCAGCAGAATTCACTGAAGTGTGAAGCCCCAGCAGTTCCATAGCTGATGTTTGCAGTAAAATTGCAGCCACAGGTCAGAAACTCTCTCTCTGTTTTGAGATGCTGACAGAATCCCTGAATCAGTGTCCTTGCACAGACTGCCCAGGCTATAGTGACATCTCAGCCCCACACAGGCACCTGCAGAGCTCCTGTTGTCCCATCTGGTGGAATAAACTACAATTCACACAGTCTACTAGGGGTCATAGGCAAACACTTCTTGCCTTAAACAACCATAAACTATTTTTTAAATGCTCAAATAGACTTTTGTGAAGTGAAACATCAGGTTTCAATTAAGATGCCTTCATTTCCCAATCTGATGTGTGTTAAACAACCTATCAAAACCTCATAAACTTCAGTTCACAGCATTTTCATTTCCGGATTCTCTCTTCTCCTTTCAGTTTAAGCAATAACTTGTGTATTAAAATAACGTGTTTAAAAATAAAAATAAATTGGGGAAAAATAAAGTATGATGATTTTTGTCCTTTATTGGGACAGCACTCCTCATTTTCTGGAAGACACATCAAGACCCCATTGTTCTAAGGGTAAGTTCTGGAGAATGCAGAGAGATGAAGTAAGTTAATTCCTAGCTGACTGGAATATTTGCAATAACATCCCTTCAGTGCACAGAAGAAAAATCCAGAGTTCCCAGAATCCCATGACAGCTCCTGAACACAGCAGTGCATTTTTCAAAAGGCCCATTCCATGTGGCCGAATCTGTCTGCACATCTTGCATTTTGCATTTCAAGAAAGAAATGTCTTATCTTGAGGCATCCACCCATCTGACTTGCACAAAACAAAAGTCTATAATATTCCAGAAGTCTTAATGCCACAATTAGAGCACGGAAAATGAGGCACAATTCTGTCTAGTCCAAATCCCTGCTGTGACATAGCAAATCTCCTGCACTGACAGCAGTGGAAGGACAATGCCAGGGGCAGACCAAGCAGACCTTGTCCAGCAAAAGTGCTTCTCTCTGGGTTTGTCAGCTGTGCTAATGTGCCCAAAAATGTCACGTGTGGTCTCTATCAACAACTATATCACATGTGTACACGAGCAATTTACCCACCCAAGTAATACTTACTCTAATGGTTGATATATTACGTAGAGCAAATATAAATAGGTTCTGAGGACAGTGTTGCAATGTGAGATAATCCAGAAAACCCAAGTCACCACCTACTCCAACACTAACATTCCAAAAAGCTGCACTGGGGGTGAGAGGTACAAGAATGAGCATTACGGAATTTTGTTCATAAATATGAACTAAAACTGTCATTTGCATTGTTTTCTTTTGTAAGTTTTTACGTACAAAACTTGTTGGGATAAGACCAGAATTTCTTACCAAGGGCCTCAAAAATCAAACCTTTACCCTCTTCTACTCTCAGCCTGGGATGCAACTGCACAGTGGCTTTCAAGGCACTGCTGAAGTGTTGATGTTCCCGCCCAGAATCCTTGGATCAGGAAGGTTCTTGCCTGGGTCTGAAGCATTTTGAGAGCTGTCACTGTAACAGAGCCAAAGTCCTTCCCTTTCAATATCCAACAGTGGAGGCCCAAAGGAAAAATAAGAACAGTGTAAGCCTCCCCTGCTGCTTGGTCTCACATCCTTCTCTGAGGTTTTGCTCCCTTTGCTTCATACCTACCCCTCTGCCCATCAGGCCGTTGTTGAAAGGCAGTCCAATGAAGCTGAAAGCTGCCTCCTGGATGAAGTAGGGATTCAGGATACGTATCTCATGAGGTTCCCTTGGGACACGGGTTGCCACTGACTTCCAAAAGCCATCAGACGCACTCTGGTAACAAAAACAGAAACAAAAAGGAAAAAGAAGGATAAAACAACAAGCAGAATTATATACAAAATATAGCAGATTGATATTATTTTATTTTAAAAGTATATTATAATGCACTGCTGCAGCAGTTACCATCGTCTCTGCTCACTGCCACAGGGCAGTAGTATGACACTGTAGGGGACCTGTGTCTCTCGGAGAGGTGGCAGCAGCATGGACTGATGCAGTTGAGCCAGTCTGGATAGTAACTGGGAGGGAGACAGACAAGCCAAGCCTTCAGCATGAATTACCCCCTTCCTGGTGCCATCTTTTCACTCCTATTGGCACTTCAGCTGGTTTGATCCATGGATTAAGCATTCCAGCACATCCTGTGATCACTCCCACCTGCCTCCAAGGAGATACACCATTGGATAGTAAATGCTTTTAAGAACATTCAAAAAGAAAAAAAATGACTGTACAGCCCTACTTGCAGTGTGAGCTACATGCTTCCCACTTTATCCTAGATTTGTCCTCCCCTGTTTTATGTGAATTAAGCTGTAAGCTCACACAGATATCATCTTGTCTTGTTAACAGTCATGAACATTCATAGTACAAGGGAAGAGACAACTAAGTATGTCTATTATTTTTATCAAATTCAAGTTTTCACTCTGCACACATGGAAGAACAGTGGCCTTGATGTGTGCTGCACTCCTAGACAGCCTTTCCTGGGGTGGGGCTGGTGCCACTCTGCCACATGGCTTCCCATCCTTGCTCCCTGATGGCTTTGCATCATTGCTTCCTGTGGTTCCCCCCCCCACACAGCCCCCTGAATAATCAGGCTAGCTCAGAGATCAGAGGCTGTGAGGGGAGGAATAACAGGAGATGGCAAAGATTTCCAAAAGAGGCGCTTACCCCGAGATAAGTTGGTTCAGCTCTCTTTAATCTGTGATGTCCTAGGGGAGAGCGGGGCAAAAGAGGATGAACAGGAAATGTCAGGGGTCTATATAGACTTTGGACAGGGTGGGCTTCCCTGGCTCTCCGCCAACCCCACTGGGGCAGAAAGGAGGGTCCAGGGCTATCTTGATCAGAGTCACAGGGTCCCGGGGAAGAGGAAACAGAATGCCCATGAGCTCACTGTAACAGCTTCCCATCATTGACACCTTTCCAGGTGTCAGCAGGCACAGCACAGAGTGCCCCCAAAATAACCAGAGGCTCTGTGTTCACAGGACTTGGGGAACAATTGCATTCCAGCGTTTCACTTCTGTTTGGGTTAATTCAGAGCAAGGCACAAGGAAGATGGAAGGAATTTTAATCTGCTGACCAGCCTCTGGGGCAGGATAACCTGATTGAACACCTCCTTCTTGAAGCATTGAGCCATCTTCCCTGAGATCTCCATGACAAGAAACAGACACACTACATAAAAAGGACACACTCTGGAATTTATTATATGCACCAGTTTTAGATTGCTTGCAGCTTAGCAGTGACTTTACAGCTGCTCTCAAGGCACTGATGAAAATGTTGATTATCCACTGAAAACCCTCAGGAGCTTCCTCTGCCCAGTGGTGATCACCCCTGTAATTACGGACTGGAATTCTGCCTCAGCCAATGCCTGCTGCATTTCACACGCTCCTTGTCCTGTGCTCAGCTCCCGTGAACTCTCACACCACGTGTTGCTAAACACCTTACAGAGTGTTTTTTATGGAACAATCCCATGGATATCTTTAGCTGCTGAATTTCATACCCTGAAATTGAAACTTTGGCAGATGGCTCATGCTACAAAAGGCATTAACAGAACAAACCTGAGGAGGGTGCACGCTGTCATGCAAACCAACATTCTAAGAAAGCCAAATCCCATTGCTATCTGTGCCTCCTCAAAACTGCCCAAACATAATATACTTTTGACAACTGGGGCAAGCATCCCATGGGTTTAAGTTCACATTTCATCAATGGCCAAGTGCCCTTGGGACCCTAAATGGAAAAAATTCTTAATTATCACTCATGTTCTTTCATCATAGTAGAATTAGAAAGAATGCCTGGTGTCAAAGTAGTCTAACACTTTCCATTATAATAAGACATTTTCAGCCACTGAGTGATCCCAGCATTAAAAAAAAACAGAAAAAAACCCTTTACAAATATTAATAAAGTCCAGCATCCATTTGACCAAGGGATTTGAGGGATTTGGTATGCCAGCTGGGTTTTGCCTCCTTGTGAAAATTCATTAAAAATTGGATAAATATTAAACCTTTGGAATTTCCTAAGGGCATACGTAAAGTAGAGGCCTTTCAGTTCCAGGAAAGGAGGGGGGGAAAAAAAGAGGTCACAGACTCCACTTGCATTAAGCATACTCCAGGTGTCACAAAAATGAAGATGATAAACAAAAATCATGAACAGCTACTCATTCAGTGAAACCATCTTATCATGGGCTTTATCAGGCACACCCTGGAAAAATAGTGTGTGACCTTGAAACTAAAATAAATTTGTAAGTTCAATTATGATTTCACATACGCCTCTAAATATGGCATTGCCCAAATTTTGTGAACAATTCAAACCAAAGATCTGTAAGCTATTTGAAGTGGATAGAAGATGCCTTTTGTTTGGACTTACACTCCACAGGAGAGTCTACGTAAGTTCTGGGATCTAAGTAGGTTTTACACGGCTTTTACATTACACATAAAACATTAAATAGAAAAGAAAAAGAAGAAAAGTTATAAACATTTGAGAGTTTTATTCCTTTCTGCTGCTGGAGCTGAAATAACCAGACATACCACCGCTGTCCATCTTCCCAGCACTGTGTGAACCACGAGGACTGCACCAGGGTTCCTCACAGCTAGTTCAATGCCAGTGCAAAATAAATGTGGGTGCCTATCCCTAGCTGGAAATACAACCAGTCTGCTTTACTCCCTTCTATTTAGCTGTTTCTCCTGTTGTTCCCCATGACTATTTCCCTAAGCATTTCCTTCAGCTATCACACTGCTCTGAAATTGCTCTGGTTTCTCCTTTCTGTCTCATTTCTATTTGCGCTGTGTTTTCCTCCACTAGACAGTTCCCCTGAGATTAGTTTTGAAGGACACCTGGGGTAGGCTTTCATTTTGGTGCATTTTCCCACTGTAGTTTCTAAAACAATTACAGGGTGGAACACGGAGTCTCAGCAAGCAGCCCTTACTTCCACCTATACAGCAAGCAAAGTCCCGTGCAGCGCTAAAGAACCAAAACCTGCTTTTCCTGGCTTATAATTACTGAAATCCCAGCCTTGTGGTTTGGCTCTCCAAGCCCCATAGCCTGAGCTCCCTTCCCAGCGCTGTGGTTTTGTCACGGGCAGGGCAGAGCGCAGCTCCAGCACCGCCAGCCCCGGGCTCCCCCCGGCCCAGCCCCGTGCCGGCGCTGGATGTTCCACCCAGCTGGACCCAGATGTTCAGAGAGGTTTCCAAAGCAATTACTTCCCATCGGGAAACGCTGTCCCTTTTTTTGGCTAGCAGGAGACCCGAGGAGCAGCAGGCATTAGGAGGGAGGGTGCGCTTTTCCTGCCAGATTCGGGAGCTCAGACTCGCAGTTGGAGGCTGGGGGCATCCTCTGTTGTCTGCTGCAGTGGCCAAACCTGCAGTGCTTTAGGGTGGGCTTGTCACAATGAAATAACTCCTGTCCTGATCAGCAAAACAATAAACAGAAAATGAGTCTGAAAACTGCTTAGGCAATGTTCCTGCAGTGCCTCATCACCTCCTGGTACCGAGGTGGAAACCACAAGATCCTTATGTTAAGCTTCCACTGTTATTACTTGGTATTACTGTGCACCCACAGACTGATGTGTCCCAGGCACATATCAGTATTCACTGTGCCAAAGGCTGCCAAAAGAAGCTTATCCAATACAAGCATAAAGAAACAAGCATCACAAACAGGCAGACAGAAGACTGGAGAACAAGCCTGTGAGGGCCATGGCATTTTTAAACAATCTTGGAGTGTTTTAAAAATCGTGTAATTGCAAAGGACATCACTAAAGGCTTTAGAGGAAAGTATTTTAGAAGTACAAAAGAACTTAGATAGGCCAGGGCTTTCAAGCCAGTCTCTTGTACAGTTCTCACCCAGCAAAAGAGCCAGAAAGAGACACCACCTCTATAGACACCACTCCAGGAATAAACTGGTACAGACATAACAGACCAAAGATAGCAGATTAGGAAGAAGGGATAAAAAATGGAAGGGCTCACCAAATAGCTCCAGGGACAAGACAATCCAGCTGCAATCCCTCATTCTGTCCATTTGCAGAATACTGAAGGCTAATAGCCGCAGCCAGTTGTAAACTATTTTTGTCTCCATTCAGATTTTCATCTCCTGTTCTCAGATTTACCAAGGCAAATCACAACATTCTCTAAAATAAGATATGGAAACTCTGAGCCTTAGCCAAGAAGCACCTCAGTGGAAAATACAAAGCACTAGAAGCAGGCTAAGTCTCCCACAATAACAACATTTCTAATGTACTGAGCAAAAAGAGAGGTAATGCCCTTGCATCCTGATGATACAGATGCTGCCTCTTTTGTGCCTCTGTGACACTACTGGATTTAGGTGTACAAGCAGTATAGCTCATTCAGACTTCGAGCTCTGATGGGAAGGGGACAGGAGGATTGCAAAGCTCACTTACATGCAACATGAAGTCTGGGTATGCAATACTTTGCTGCAGAGCAACCAAAGAAAGAGACTGGAGAAGGAGCCTGTGGCAAACAGAGATTACTGCTCTTTTGAACTCTGCTAACACCAGAAATGGAGAGGAAGAAGGACATGAGGCAAAAAAAAAAAAAAAAAAAAAAAAAAAAGTCAAGGGATGATGCACCAGTCACAGGACCTCGCTGTGCCTGTGAGCACATTGTTAATTGGAATCTCTGCCCCCACCGAGGCTGGAATGTGGTTTATTCTCTGCCCGTCATCCACAAGCTCTCACTGTCACACAAACAAGGTACAGCAAAACCACTGCAATCCATCTGCAGAGGCTTTTGAAAGGTTTCTGCTCAGGCATGACTGGATTAGACATGGAAGGTGTG